ACAGAAGCTTCCAGATTGCCGAAGTGCAAGAATGGACTACATCGCGAAAAGCGACGTGAAGAAAAAGTGAGTGCGCATTTCAGCAGTGACTTAGTTTCCGAGTGAGTCAATGCCAATCGTGTGTGGAATGGAAATTCGCAAATCTGCTATAGGACATCTGAAGATTGAGGATGAAGACCAAAGGAAGAAAAGGATAAAGATGTTCAACAAGTGCTCAAAGAAGCGTGCGAGAAGAGAAGATGAAGCTCACAGGAGCATGCGAAAACTGTGGTGGAAGTAGGAAAAGTTTCACAAGGATCACGTGACACGACAAAGCTGTGTACGTGATGAGGGCGTAACAGATAGTTCAATTTTCCCTCATGCCCATTTACACACAGGAATCCAGTGTTTCAACGCAGGTCAAACGTAGGCTCAAGACAGCCCGACAGCGGAGCAGCAAGTGAGAAAAGAATCCAAGCTCGCGCCGTGGTTGTAACAAGAACACTGGTTTAAGGGTTTAAACTTTCATTCCCGGACAAAGGGACGGGAGTGTATAATGATTTCATGAATGAAATGAAGGTCGCTGTCGGAGTTGAATTGCTTCCGAAAAGCCCCGCACTGTTCAGGCTGCCCAGTGGAGCAGGCGGAGGCTATGTGCATGTGGACGACAGTCTGGCCGCCGGCCAGACTGAAAGGTTGCAGGTTCTTGAAAGTCACTTGAAGTCAAAGTTTAAGGTGTCTAGCGAGTGGATTGGGCACATAGGAGATCAAGTATCTTTCTTGAAAAGGCGCCACATCCTGGTAAGCCCCACTTTGCTAGCGATAGAGCCTGACATCAAATACCTTGATCGCCTCATGCAAGTCACCGGATTGGCAAATGCAAAAGAAAGGTACAAAGCAGCCCCATTGCCGACCGGAGGTTTGCCCACTGAGCTCGCATCTGATCGCGAGTTAGATGCAGCCACCGCCAGCCGGTATCGCTCAGGTGTCGGTATCCTCGCTTATTGTCTTCAGACCTTGTGGCGTGTCAATTCGCCATTCGATACATGACTTCCTGTTCTCACTCGCCTACCGAAGGATCATGGAAGTTGTTGCGGCATGTTGCATCGTACATCAATTGCCACCGCAACCATGTGATCGGGCTCTCGAAGCCTGTATCCGGCAAGGGCCTTGTCCGCGACAGGTCCCGCGAGGAGAATACGACCGTGCTTGAAGTTTGTTCAGACTCCGACTGGAGCGCCTGCAAGCGAACAAGGAAGTCCGTGAGCTCTTGTGCGATTCTCTGGGACAGCATGCTGCTATATTATGCTATATGCACATAGCAAAGCCCAGAAGACCATCAGCTTGAGCAGTACAGAATCGGAATACAATTCCCTTGTGTCCGCTGCGGCAGAAGGAATTTTCTTGTCAGCATGCACCCGATTCCTCCTTCCTGATTACACGCTTGAACAGATTTGCCCTGTAGACAACTCGGCATGTCGAGCCCTGGCGTGCCGACAGGGAGTTGGGAAAATGCGCCGCATCAGTGGCACACTTCTTTGGCTTCAGCAAATGACTAAGGACAATGTGCTGTCCGTAGGGCCGATCCCTACAGCTGAAAACGTGTCGGACCTCGGCGCGAAACCATTGAAGGCAGAGCGGATCGAAAAGCTGCTAGGCATGATTGGAATCAGATGTGCAGACAGCAACCACGGTGTTGTCTGGGAGTCCTACCTCTTCTCAGCAAAGGACAAGCTGCATGTCGCAAGAGTCGTGAAGCAAGGATCGCTGAACGCCCAGCAGATCTTTCAAGTGTTAGCTATGCTTCTCCAAGTTGATCGCGTCGCAAGTGCAAGCGATGAGCCCAATACGCAGCATGCCGAGGACGCCTTGAGCCAGGACGACGACAATCTTGGAGTGTTTGCACAAATTCTTGAATGGTTTGTGTACATGTGTTACCTTGTGCGCGATTTTGCGTTTGAGTATCCAGCTGGGATCATGTTGATCATACAGCTGCTGATCTTGATCATGCTGTGCTTTACGCTGTTGAGTCGCAATCGCGTTGCAGTGCTGAGACAGCAAGCCGACAATGAGCAATGCAGTGCGGCAAGCAGCAGTGCACCCACACCGAACGTTGCGGTGCATGTGAAGGTTGAGGGTTCTACGGTTTCGCTAGCTAGTCCTAGTCCCGAACCTGCCGAAAACCCTAAGCTTAGCCAGCCCGCTGCAGCAATCGCCAACCTTGCGTCCAGCAGCGCAGCAGCGCGTGCCGATGATCATGATGCTCCAAACCCCAGTGCAAGCTCTTCGAGTGCCAGTGCGAGGCCGAAGGCAATCGCTTTTCCGCCCCCAAGGCAAGTGATCGATGAGTGGAGGGCCGAGCAACTTGTATGGGTTACCAAATCCAGAGGCAAGTCATATCATCACAGGCGGACATGTGGAACGCTTGGAAATGCAAATGCACTTGAAAGGATCAGCAGGCAAGAAGCCATCAATCGAGCTTTCAAGAAGTGCAAATGTTGTTACGGCAGTACTTGAAGTGATGCTCATGATGCGCCAACCCTTGGGTTCATTGCTTTGGCATTGAGCCGATCGGTTGGATCTTGTACAAAGGCCGCGAAACGACTGTACATAGACTTGTTGAGCAGAACTTCCACCATTTTGGTGGCAATACCGCATTGACTTACCAACCACTGAGCCAGCTGTGGAGCAGCTGGGAGTCTGGGAGTCTTCATAGGTAGGCATCGCGCCACCTGATGCATGTAGGCATCGCAATCCTTGTGTGCGGATTCCATAGGAATACCAATGTCTTGATGGGGCAGCTGCGAGCTGCATGGAACCCACTTGAATGATCCTTGTGTTACTTGTATGCCGACAGAGCGCAAAACTTGAACCTTGGAAGCGCCTTCGCTTGGGTGAGTCAAGCTTTATCACTTCGTAGCCTGCTCCTAGCCTTCTGAAGTGGTGTAACTAGTCGTAGTTGTACAGTACAGTCCTACGTAAGAGTAGCAGTTGAGCCAACGACCCTTTGAGGCAGAGCTCGAGAACGCGGAAACTTTCTCTTGAGTGCAGTCGTGAACTAGTTGTATGTTGTTTGAGCAATGGAGAATCATGGTACAGAAACCCATGCCAAGGCCATGAGAGTCTGTAGGCGGGGTGTTTGTGATTTCTCCATGTAGCATACCGTATTTTGGTACATTTGTTTTGTCGTTGATGTACTCATTTTCACTTGAGCATGCGAATGACATGTCGACTATCCGCAGGCGTTCTTCAGAGTCACAAAAGAATTTCTTTTTGTCATGTGTGCGTGCTTCTATCTTTGCAGAGGTCAGAAGAAAGACATCAGAGGCCCAGAAAAAGATCCACCGGGTCCGAAACAAGACACAGGGTCAGTTACGAGATATTTTGGGGCCGAGAAAAAGACGGCTTAAATCGTAGAGTGGAGGTCGAAAAGAAGATCGTAATCTTTTTCTAGACCTCGTCGCGGGGCTGAAAAAAAGATGGAGGTCGGAAAAAAGATATGCCGGGGTCGAAATCAAGATGGACCAAGCGAGCGGTCTGAAAAAATATATTTCGTGGTCGAAAAAAGAGCAGCCCCTTCTTTTTTCCTTTGCAAAACAAAGCTTGTTTGTGGTAAACAGGAGATGGCCCTGCTTTGGAGATTTCCAGCTTGGAGTCGCAGACACTCCTTTGCTGGACGAGAAAGTTTTTTTGCTTCTTTCTGCTTTTGCTTGCGTCACCGCTTGTGCAGCTGCAGCGATCACGCAACAAGAAACATTTTGTTTTTTTGGAGGCCTTGAATGTGGCGACTGAAGCAGCCAAGGGGATCTTGGGTGTGGGTGCAAGTGTGGTGTGGGCGTGGGTGGGCGTGGGCATGGAAATGGGTGTGGGTGGTGGTGGAGGAAAGCGCTGCCATTGAGCAGAGACACTTCAGAGAACTGCTACCTCAGACGGCTTTCCGTAAATCTGGAAAAGTCGGGCGCGGCGCCGTGCGCGGAAGAAAATTAAATTCAAGAGAGGTCACGGCGCCGTACGCGGCAGCATCCTTTGACACTGCCGCGCACTGCGCCGCGCTATCGGTTCCCTTCCAAGCGAACCTGCTTGCCGCGCAAGGCGCCGCGCATCTCTGTCATCGCTGGGCACACACACCCACACACCTCCACACCCACTCGAACCCACACTCACACCCACGCCCACATCCAACTTGATGGAAAGCAAGGATTTCTGAGGTCACTTCGCATTTTGTGTGGCCGGCACCGGGACCATGCTGAACGACTGCCCGCAAAGCCTGTACAGCCTTTGTTTCACTTCTCGTTGTTCTTGGAGGCTTGCTTAGTTTCTTGCTGGGACTCCGCCAGCAGCGCTTTCTTGTGGTTTTTTCCCTTGTGTGGTTTTCGCGGCTTAAGAGAGTGGAAAGAGGGGTTGAAAGGCGCCAAGAGGGGTCCTTGACGCCTTCTTCTTCGCTGGAGTTTAATTTTGTTGTGTGGCTCTCTGTGGAAATTTCTGAGGTTTTTGCACCAGAGAAGGGTTGAAAGCGGCCGGCTGGAAGGGAGAGCCCCAACAACCGTTCAGGGTTTTCCCAAGTCGAATCTGAGGTTGGAGTTCGGTTGGCACCAACCCCTAACCTTTGCGTCGGAGCGAGAGGAGGGGTGAACTCCAACCCCTGGCTCAAGCCATTTGGCTCAAGTTGCCGTGAGTGCTCAAACTTGAGGTGCCGACGTGGCCAGCCTTGAGGCCTGCATTCTAGTGCTCTCGAACAGAACCCAAACCGTAACCTCGTTGAGGTCGTAGGCCGGATTAGCCGGCGAGGGCTGGGCGGGAGCCGTAGTTTGTCAGGCGCTCTTTGCGCCATCTGCTTGAACACCGCTGCAACTTGCAACCTTGAAACATCTTGCTTGCACAGATCGCTTGATTTTCTTGGAAAAGTTTTGTTTTGAAGGCCTTGCTTGCAAAAACGCCCTTTGTTGCCACTTTCTTGCGTACAGTTTCCTTGAAGGAAGGCAGCAGGCGCGCAACGACTTGCGCGAGAAGTCAGTGCAGACATGTCGCGTGCTTACCACGTGTGCAAGAAGTGCGGGCCCAGCAGTTGGATCTTTCAGGATCGTGTTGGGTCGAACCCGTTTTGCCAGAAGTGTGGATGTCAGTGGCCGAAGGCCACGCAGCAGAAACCGACTGCGGTTGCAGGGGCGGACTGGGCAAGCCGAAATGATCCGGTCCGTGTATGGAAGAATAAGGGCCCCAGGGCCGCTCCACAGAAGGGCCGGCCTGACGGCAAGATCCATCGTGCATTGCACTCCCTCTGGGAGAAATTTACGCCTGCAGTACAGCAAGGGCTTCTCGCAGCTGGCTGGAAGCCCAAGGAAGAGGACAAGCCTGAGCCCCCGCCGGGGCTTCCGCGTAAAAGCGTTGGGGGAGGCATCGGCAAGGGCAAGGGCAAAGGTAAGCAGCAGGAGCAGCGTGAGGGTGATGCTGCCCAGGCCTTGTGGACGTCTGCAAATGCCGATCAGAAAGCCCTCTTGCAGCAGCTGGGCTTCAATGACCCCAGCCCGAGTGAGCCTGCAGACTTGAAGTCCTTGGTCAAAGCGCACATGGATCAGTTGCCTGAGTCCCTGAAGCAAGCGATTGCCAGCCTGGAGCCTCAGACACCAGAGCAGGTGATCACTGCGACCCGCAAGTTTAAGGCCAGCACTAATGAGCTCCGTCAGCTCATTCAAAAATCTGCGGGCCTACAGGTTAAGATAGACCGCGCCAAGTCTGCGTATGCGGATCTTTTAGATCAGATGAAAAGTGTTCAGGAGGAGCTTACGGACAAACAGAATGAAGTGGCGGCCTTGCAAAAGGACCTTGAATCCAGGGTCCAGTCTGCTCCTGAGCCGTCAGCCCTGCCATGCAAAGAGGCCGTCCTGCGGGCGCTTCAGCAGTGTGGCATCAACTTGAGTAGTGAGCAACAGGCCCTTCTTGACTGCAATGCCATGGAAGTTGAAGAGGCGAAGGAGGAGACGCAGCAGGAACAACCTGGCGCCCCGAAGCCAGCCCAGGTGACCCCACAGCAGGGCTCTCAGCCCCCAGAGCAAAGCGGTGCTGCTGGAAGGCAGGAAGGCGGTCGTGATGAGAAGCCTCGCTCGCGCAGTCGGGGCCGAACTCAGGGTTAGGGATTGGGGTTAGGAGTTGTGATTAGGTGTGGGCCTTCGGCTGTTTCCTTGGTCAGAGGTAGAAGCCGTTCTTGTTTTGTGCAAACAGATGATCTGGTGCATCCGAAAGTTCAGGCCTCAACCGCTACTCCGCTGTCCCAAGTCTTACCTTATTCTCCTGCCAGCCTGCATTCTGAGCAGTTCGCAGGCGCCCCGGGTCAGCCAGAAGGGTTTTGTGACTTGCCGGCCCTAAAATCCCGACCTTTCCCACCTTTAGGGCTACACTCCAGTGCGGATGAACCCGGTCCTGGACCAAGCCTTGGAGATTTCTGCAATCTGTTTTTGAGCCGGCAGTGCAGTGCAGCTTCCGATTCGGACAAGTCCGTTGGAGGTGAGTCTGTGCACATCTTATCCTGTGTGTGTTGTGCAGCGCCGCTGGCTTTCTCACAAACTGTGAGTTCACATGCTAGGGGCAGTGAAGAAGTTTGCACCCTGTGTGCCCAGGCTGCTTCTGCTGCAAGCGGTGCTGGCCGGTCGCACGCGGCGAACAGCCGTGGAGGTCGGCAACCTTGGGTGGCAACGGCCTCACCCTCTGTTGCTTCGAGCTTGTCTGTGAGCTCCGCCGTCAAGGGTTGGGTTAGAGGTTCTTTGGATTTGGACTGGGGTTTGAGTGCCAGGGCTATGCATAAGGAAGTTCCTGACTTGGTTTGCGCTTGCTGTCATGTGAGAGTGCAGTCAAATTTTCACAGCCCGGGTCCTTTCATGATGCCAATTTGCCCTCAGTGCCAACCCTGCGGCGACGAGTGCCACACTATAAGACAGGCAGCCTTGATCGATCCGTATGTGCCTTCAGGTGAACCTGTGCACATTGTTTTCCCTATCAAAACACCTGCCAGCCATCGTTCTTGCAAGTTGGTTTGCGGGATTCCTGGGGCAAGTGCCTCACCTTGGATGTGGGTTGAGGGCGGCGAGGTCGCTGAGGATTGGTTTTCAATTCCAGGCCCTAACCCGTGTGCTTCCCCGTTTCTTGAGGGCCCGAACCCCAATTTGCAAGGACTTGACTTGTTGGGACAAGGGGGCGAGCATCTTGAGGTTTTGCCTATTTCTTTCCCGAACCTGTGTCCTTCCCCGGTTTCTGAGGGCCCTATCCACAATTTGATGTTCACGGGCACTCTTGACAATGCCTTAGAACCTGCATCAGTTGCTCTGAATTCCAGTCCGGAGCTGATCGTAACCTTGGGTGTGCAGCCTGAACTCTTGCTGCAAAAAGGCTCTGAGGGCCAAACCCCTCAAGCCCCGGTTTTGGAGCCGAAACAAAGGGTTTGTCCGGATCCCCCTCAAACCCCGGTTTTGGAACTGAGGCAGGAGCTGAGTCCAGGTCATGAATTTTCATTTGCACTCCTTAACCCGTGTGCTTCCTCCTTTCCTGAGGACCCTAACCTAACCCCAATTTGGCTCCTGCATTTGAGTTTGAGGAGTGGCTTGCTGCGCCGCTTGAAAGCTCCAGTGTATGTTGCATTTGTGGCAACGGCCAGGTTTTAGGGCAGCATGGCAATCCTGAGGTCCAACAATTCGTCCAGGTATGCCGCAAATTCTTATTGGGCCGACCATGTATTGCTGTCGCCACTGCTGTCAGGGATGCCTTCAGCTATTGCCCTGAGTGCTTGTGCCATTGGGCTCAATTTGCAGGGAAGGGCGCTCAGATTGGGCAAAGGGAGGAGGTCGCCTTGACTGGCCCCCTTTACTTTCCAGCCCCTGAGCATGACCAGGAGAGTGAGGTTCAGTTTGATGTATCAGGGACTCCTGAGCTTGTGCGTGTGAAGGCTGCTCAGGTCAGGGCATTTTCGGCAGAACAGCACTCGTTTCGGTCAGTCCCGGCATCACGCCGTACTCGCAGGCGTCTCAATCGCCGGCTTCGCAATGCCTTGACTCAGCATCTTGAACCGATCGAGGTTTCAATGGATTTTCCACTTCCTGTGAAGGCTGACACTTCCTTGTGTGATCAGGTCGCGGCTACCACCGATGTGCGCCTCGCTGGCAGCACTTGGGCAAAAAGCCAAGAATCAGCAATTCCTAACCCTGCATCCGGTTTTCTTGATTCAATTGAGCCCTTGCTTTTAGCGCCGTCCTCCTACCCATCTCTAGGAGAAAATGCATTTTCACATAAAGAAGGGTCTGCAGGAGTTTCAGCTTTTCCAGCAGTTGCCAGTGAAAAGGAAATTTCGGGTTTAGCCGCTCTGGATGCACCAATAGAGCCCTTGAAGTCAATACCCGGCATCAAACATTCACGGAGGTCCAGGCGCAGGCGAGCCAGGCGATCCAAGCTGTTGCCGAGTGGAGAGCCTGCTGCTCACACTCCTGCCGTAAACCCGTGCCAGGAAATCGAAAATGGGCGTGTGGCGGTGGAAGCTGCATTTGCCAGTTGGTCCTGTCTGTGGACGGGTTTGGAGCACAAGTGTCATTCGGAGGTACTTGAGGCTGTTGAGGCCTTAGAGTCGGGGCGCCACATCGTTGAAGACACTTTTGCATGGCGTGCGGCAGAGCTTGCTGTTGAGGCTGGTGATGAGGTTCCGTGGCATGTTGCCGGGTCAGCTGTTGCAGACGTCATGGCCAATTTAGATGCCGCCCCCTGCGGGCGTAAGCTGACCTTCATTTCTGCTAACGTTACCTGATGGCGCAAGGATCTGTGTCCGTGGCTTGACCGCCATAGACCGGATCTTTGCTTGGTGCAGGAGACGCACATTACAAAGGAGCAAGGTGACCTGATTTCCACACATGTCGGGCCCTTTGGATATAAGGCTTTCAGCCTGCCAGGGCATCCAACTGGAGGTGGAGGCAACTCAGGTGGATTGGCGGTTGTTTTCAAAAAACACCTTGACGTGCGTAAAGCCCACCATTTCCTTCACCAAGGGGTAGGGTTCCAGGCTGTGGTGTTGCGCATCAGGGATGTTGATCTTTTTCTTGTCAATGTGTACTTGAAGTCCGGTGAAGGCTTTCGCAGCCAGGCCAATGCCAACGTCTTATCCCACTTGATCTCCTTTCTCAGGTCTGTGAGAGGAGAGTTTTTTGTGGCTGGGGATTTCAATGAGGATTTCAGTGTCATTGGCACAACAAACATTGATCAGGAGGTTCGGGGCACGTGGCTCCACTCTGGGGCCTCCACTTGCACTGGAGGTGGAAACATTGACTATGGCATTTTGTCCAGGGGCTTGGTCTTGGGGGCTCAGCTTCAGGTTGATTGGGTTACACCCTTTGCGCCGCATGCTGCCTTGCACTGGACTATCAACAGGCAACACTGTGATGCCAAAATCCCGCAGCTTGTTGGTTTTAAGCCTCTCCCTCTGAAGCCCCAACCTTTTGTGCCGCCAGCAGCTGCAGGTTGTGACCTTAGTCAACCCATGTGGGAATGTGAACTCGGCCGCCATTGGGGTGGTTCTCTTGGGCAGCCGGCCCTCACTCAGCAGTTTGAGGCACTCAGTGGTTCTGTTGAGCTTTCGGTCTTCGGAGTTGCCCAAGGTAGGGGGGCCTTGCCAAAAATTCAAAGAGCCACAATGTTGTGCCATTCGGCCCCAGCAGGGGTGTGGGGTGGAGCGCAGGCTGCATTTTGGAAGCGGATTTTAGCCTGGCTTGAGTGTTCCAAACAGCATAAGTGTAAGCTTCCCTTGTGCTCCAAGCTGCAGTTGCAGCTGTCTTCTATGTGTGGCAAGGCCAGAAGGAGCAGCTAGCTGAAGTGCAAGCCCAATTTAAAAAGGTTGGCCGAGATACTGTTCCGGATGTTTTCGCTTTTCTTTCAGAGGCTGCCAGTCAACAGTTTCGCTTGCACTCTAAGGCTTGGATGCAACAGCAGAGCGCAGGTTACTTTAAGTGGTTGAAGCAGGCTTCGCTGAAAGGCTTGAGGGGTTTGTTTCGCAGTGTTAAGTCTGAGGAAGCTGTTCATCTCAGGCCCTTCTTGACACAACCAGTCCAGGATCGCATTTATTTCCGGTGGAGGCAGTGGTTCGAATTGTGGTCAGACCCCAAAGGTGTTGACCAGGCACTTTTCAATGAGCTTAAGCAGCGTGCTATGTTGCAGGCGCGTGAACTTGGGCCAATTCCTATTGAGCAGGCTGTCGCGGCCTTCAAAAAGGTCCCCACCAAAGCACCGGGCCTGGATGGATGGACATGCGAGATTTTGCAAAACCTGCAGCGTCCTGCTGTTGAAGCTATTGTGGCTTTCCTCCATCATTGCGAGCTTGAGGCCAGTTGGCCTGACCAAATGGTTTTTGCCCTGATTGCGTTACTTCCGAAAAGTGACAAACGCGAAAGACCCATAGCACTTTTGCATGTTCTTTATCGTGCTTGGGTGCGATTGAGATGGAAGCTGGTGGCCGACTGGCAAGGCCAATACTCCAGAGAAGCGGTGTGGGATAAGGCCATGCCGGGCAGTCAGGTTTTAGACGTTGCGCTTTCGAGGCTGCTCAGGGGGGAGGCCTCCAGACAATCTGGGCAACACCTCATAACTATCTTCATGGACATGGAGACGTTTTACGATCGTTGCAGGTTCAACGATGTCATTTCATCTGGCATTTCGCTCGGCTATCCTCCCTTGATCCTTCACCAAGCATTGCTCACTTACATGGGCCCGCGCTTTCTACAGTCTGAGGGCTCCGTTTGCCCGGCCATCACCCCCGGTAGGGGGGTGTTGGCTGGATGCCCGGCGGCTCCTTCCATCAGCAAGCTTGTTGTTCACCCGGTCGCGGCTAGAGTTCAGGCTAAGAGGGCTGCTGTCAACCTTGATGTGTGGATTGACGACATGTCACTAGATGCAGTACATGCTTCCGCCAAGCAGGTTGCCACAGATGCGATTTTGCTTTTCCGTAGTTTGCGCAAAGACCTTGAAGCCCGAGGTGCTACACTTTCCTTGGAAAAGACCTCCTTTGTTGCTTCTTCACCCCAGGCGGCCAAGTGTTTACTTGAAATCAGAGAGGAGTCGGATCCACAGGTAAAAAATTTTGCGAGGGATTTGGGGATCACTTCCGGGG